TTATGAAAAAAAAGCTTTCGGGCTGAAGCCTCCCCCCCCAAAAAAAAATAATTAAATCCTGGATCCGCTAGTGATATTGTATATTTGGTGAACAAGATTTTCTGATGTAGTTTATACGTCGAACGATGAAGATAACTATTGCGTCAGTTCTCGCTGGGTTAGACTATTTTGTATTACGTTAAATATCGATAAACAATAATTAACAAATTGGAAGTGCTTCCCAAGGACGATATCAATAACAAACAGATTTTAGTAAACAATGGCTGCACAAACATATTTAAAACAATGACTGAGCAGCTTACAGTATTCTTATTTTTAAAGATATCAACCCTCTGAAATAGACAATAATTTTTAAAAGAATAACCTAAAAGAAATTTTGTTTCTCATTTCTTACAGCCATTTCTTACATCCAAAATGTATGTAAACCGTACATTCCGATTTTTACTTAACTTTACTTTGAGTAGAAAAATCTGGAACCGTGCGCATCACACAAATTTCACTTACCACCCTCTTAGCAGAAATAAGTATTTTCAGGCAAAGTTAATTAACAAATTATCAAATTCTTTCATATTTTAATATTTAACTATTTTTTACATCTGAAATGGTTAATTATTTCAAATAAAAAAAAGTAACTTTAGAGGAAGCTAATATTGAAAATTACCCATATAAGCCCTATTAGAGAACATCAATGAGAATAAAATCTACATTATATTAAAAAGCTGCTTAATTCTACATTGATATATTGAATTGAATTAAAAGCATTGAAGAAGTTTTCGAGAAAATCGTAAAAATGTGTTAAATCGATGATATAAAGTACCACTTCCGGTTAACCGATTTTGACGAAAAAGTTTCTGTAACATCCCAGACATATAACAACCTTAAATATGCAGTTTCAGTTTCGTACGACTTTTCGTTTTTGAGCTAGACTGTTAACACACACACACACACACAAACTATTTTGCGGGACTTCATTATTTGGACTCAGGAGACCAAAACTTGAAAACAGATTCGAAAATGTTCACGATCGCAGTACTTTCCTTTACTATATATTACATATTTAGGTAAGTAGAAGTAAAAAGGTATCTTTATATATTATTTCTCAAAGGAGTTTTTTTTTCAGTATGTCATATCTTCATCAAATCCAATGATTCACTCCTCATTTTAAAGACCTCTTTCATGAGCGAAAAATAATCATTTTTACTCGAAATTTCTGAAAAATAGTTATGAAGGGAAAGAAACTTTATTTGCTGGATGGTTATTGTACCCATGATTATTAAATAGATTACTTAATTCTCTACAAAAAAAAAAAAAAAAAAAAATAATCGTAAAAATCGGAATATTATTAACAATGATATAGTCCATTAGATTTGGTTTACTTAGTAATTTATTCCTATTTGAAGTTACTACATTTACTATTTTACTAACCTTTTTTTCCTGGCTGACATATACTTTATTTTTTTGTAAGTACATTTTATATTTTTTAATAATTTAGAAAATCCCATGATGGAGGCTTTATTTTGAACATATATTCAATATATTCATCTAAGAGTATTTAATTGAACAATAGTTCTGCGAATTTTATTTAGTCCAATATGACTGTTGTGGAAAAAAAAACTGGACTGGGCTCTACAGTCCTTGAAGAACCATGGCTTCTGCTAACATTTTCTTCTACATATTCCGGTCAGCAGCAAAATGCCTCCACCACTTCACACCCATCTCCTTCAGGTTACCTTCCACTTCATCCAACCATCTGAGCCGACGCTTTGTCCATCTTCTTCTATCTTGGTTTCCATAGAGAAAAATATAGAACTACTGGTCTATAATATGGTACAAAGGCGAGGCAACTTTTATCATTGCGGGTTTATTTATTAGGCATTTATAAAAGCCTCTTTAATGGCATGTTCTAATGCCAAATTAAATAGGACAATTGAAAGGGAATAACCTTGTTTCAAGTCCTAACAAACATCAAATAATTACCGATTCTAACCTGTTCTATTTAAGTTGGCATTAGAACATGCCATTAGAGTGGTATTATATACTGAAAAAGATTTGAATCTGAGTGGAACAATATCCATGCATGTGTATGCTGGTGATTTGACACTGTTAAGCCAAGATATGGAAACAATAAAACTAAATACGACAACGTTGATCAAAGCTGTTACAGAACTGGGACTCAAAATGAATATGGATGAGACAAAATATATGGCTAGCAACAGAAATGGGACCATTCAGTGTTATAGGTATTGAAGGAAATACATTTGAACATGTAGAGAAGTTTAGGTATTAAGGATCTATGATAACAAGAAAAAAAAAGTTTGAATACATTTATCTACAAATAAACATTTAACTAAATTAATTGATAATTTTAAAGAAATTGTATACAACTAAAAATATAACTAAACAAATATAACATTCCTCTTCTATCTATCTGGCAAGTGTGTACAACCATTTGTATCCATAACAGTATCTGTATCAGATACATTTGGGTTGTATCAGCTACTTTTTAGTATCTGATACATACAATCTTACCCATCCCTAAAAAACTTTATTATTAAAAAATGTTCACAAGGTATATAAATATTTACAAGACAGAATTACAAAAGATGTGGCGCTATCGGGTAGCGGGTAGGCAAACTAATGGTCCCGTGTGTTTCAGGTAGATGATATAGTTGTTCGCTACAAGAGCATGTAATCAGTTATAGTTCAGATGTCACCTTTCTCAGTGTGTCAGCTGATAACCTATTTATACTTAAAATCTCTAAAGTGCATGAAAAGCTCATTAATTTTTCATGAATTTAAAAGTGTCTATTACTGGCACATACCCCTTAAATTTAAAACTAGGACTATTCAGAAAGCATCTGATGGCTAATCTTGATATTCAGATGAAGAAAAAAATATTAATTAATACATCACCTGACAGACTCATTTTAAAGAGTGCCAGGAGTTTATCCTTGTTTCTTAGAAAATTTTAAAAAGTTACTTTTCTATGGACATAACAGAACAATAGAACGAAAATGGTAGTTCTGCTGTGCTTTGAGCTTAGCGGTAACACCGCTTCATGATCCTCTTCCTTGTTTTAGAATAGAAAATAATTATTTTTTAAAACCCTTGAAGTATTTTTTTTTACCTCACTTCCCACTGCATTAATTTGCCTACTTTTTTTTTCTGTTGGCATTACAGACCATGTAGATCTTATCCCACATTAACAAGCCTGCTACATCTCTGCCTGTCTTGGGCTATTTCTGCCTATTTATCTGCACGCAGCTCTGTTGCATCTTTGTTGATTCTATCTATCTACTTTTTGGCCTTCCACGTAGCCTTTTACCTTCAACTGAGGCAGTCATTGTTATGTAGAGGCTTCTAGATGGATTGCTATGAGCTACATTCCCTGCCCATCTTAACCTCCATGCCTTCATATCATGGGATATTGATTGACCAGTTTCTGTAAGAAGTTCTTTATTGATATTTCTTCTCCATGTGTTAGTACTCTGATCCCAGATCGCTGCGGTCATTGCGCGGAGGATTTTCCTCTCAAATCTTTCAATATTTTTTTCTAGAGTACTGGTTAGTGTCCAGGTCTCACAGCCATATATTAGAACTGGCTTTATCATGGCATTGTACACCCTTAATTTGAGATTTTTTGGGGAAGAAAGCTTGGAAAGGGAGAAGAAAGCTCTGTTTGCGCTAGTTATAAGCTGGTCTATTTCTGCCCATTGGTCATTCATTGAGGTTATTGTGGAGCCGAGGTATTTGAATTTTTCTACTCTCGGGAATGATTTTCCTTCTACACAGATCCTGTTATTGGGGTGGAATTTTCGGCTTATTATCATATATTTTGTTTTGTCTTCATTTACTTGTAGGCCGATCTGCTCTGCCTCTCTTATCAGTGTTGTAGCGAGTTTCTCAATGTCCTCTTGATTACTTCCAAGGACAGCTATATCATCTGTGTATCCAAGGACTTTATGATTAATTCCGACGTGGACTCCTCCATTTTCCTGTGATGGTGCTCTTATTACCTTCTCCAGTGCTAAGTTGAACAACATCGGTGATAGTCCAGTCCATCTCCCTGCCATAAGCCTGTTTGAACATTGAAGGCTTCAGATACTTCTTCTTGTATTAGGACTCTACATTTAATTTTCCAATAAAGGTAAGTCAATTTTAATCAAATTTGTACTCTGAGTACAGTTTCATAATCATTTGTTTGAGAATATTTGGAATTAACTTTAATTCAAAGCTTTTGTACCTTTGATCTGCTAAATATCCCCAATCCCTAGAAAATCTTCAAGTCTTCCATATAAGGTTCAAAAACAATTTTCGATCCGTTACTAAGCAAGGCAGTCTGAATGTTTTGTTACTTGGCAGCTCCATACAATACAACATTCCTAATTAATTCAAATTTAACAAAACTAAACAATACAATTATTTACCCATAATAAATAAAGTTGAATTATTATAGACTGTCATTAATAGAGCCCATAATCTAAGAGAAAAAATAACTATCAATTTTTTTCAAAATGATGTATCTAAGGCTATGTTAATGATTATGTATGCTGACATTAGAAACTTCCTAAATAAAATAATAAATAATAAAGACTGGTAAGAAGTCTGAAAACACGCTGTTTCTCCAATTTTTTTTTTTTTTTTCAAAAGGATGTATGCTCAAATATGAAACAAATTTTGAAATGATTCACATATAACTCCAAATTTACATGTAGGAGTAGCCAAAACTAAAATCAACAGGACTAAAGGAAGGTATTCATAAAAACAATATCATTGTGAAATCTATATTTATTTTTAAATATACAATTTACAAAAAATTTTTGATGTTTCTGTGGTTTATAAACATCTTAATGCTGTAGTATGTTCTGAATTCATCCTGTAAATAAAAATAAAAGTTAAAAACATTTTTTTTTCTCAATTAGTAAATATATAAAAGAATATATGTTTATTTATATATATTGATTTTTTTTTCTATGTGAAATATTTACCATAAAATTTCCTTAACCCTTAATGAAGGAGGAAGGGATGCCGATGACTTTTCCTACAACGGATTTTGCAGTGTCAGTTCCAAGCTATAATCATTAAATACAAAATTTTAATCATTTTAAAAATTTAAACATTGTCTGTATTAGATTATTATTTTTTTTTTTCAAATTTTGTTACCAGAATTTTTCAAATATATTTTACAAAACACTATATAAAAATATAGTTCAGAGAATTGTTTTTGAAATTAGACTTTCATGTAATTTATTTATTTAATTAAAATGCATTAACAGTATCTTAGTAATCTTTTGGGGTCTCATACCCCATCATGAGATTGTAATATTTTCTTAATTTAATCATTTTATAATATTTTAATAATATTTAATACTTGGTTTATTAATCATTATTTTTGAAGTGCAATTACATACTCTTTTTAATTAATCTGTCACTTGTTCTAATTTTAAATTAACTTACTTGTACATTTATTAACATAAGTGTTGTAAAATAAACAAATAATTCTGTATTCCACAAATAATGCGAAATTGACTATATTAATATACTAAAATCCTTTCAACCAATTTAAGGGTATAAATTTGGATGATTTTATTTATTTATCAGAGAAAATAATATTTATTTATTTTACTTAAATATTTTTATTTACCTATTAAATTTGATTAAACCATGTAAATTTTAAATCATATAAATTTTATTTTTATTTAAATATTAAATTTACCTGAACTGATCCTTTAGCAAGATCAGCGGCGCCTTGGATGGTTCCAGTTGTCAAATCGGCAACTTTGTCGAGGGTACCACCAACAATGTTTTGGGTTGTATCAAGAGCAGTACCAACAACGTTTTGGGCTAGTCCAACAGTGCTGGCAATGACGTTTTGGACTTGTCCAAGTGTAGTTCCTACGATGTTTTGAACTTGACCAACAACATTGCCAACAATGCTTTGAACAGTGTTAACTCCGTTGAGTGCAACCTAAGGAAAGATGGTGTTAAATATTTTTGTTTGCTAGGCTCTTGATTAGAAAGAGAAGTAGCTTTAGATATTCAAATAGTGCATTGCTAATTGATGATCATATCTATTTGTAAAGTATAAAATTTTAAATTAGGCAAAACTTTTGATCTTCTCTCCCACAATTTTATTTACTTTAGTTTATAATCATATACATTAGAATGTTTCAGCATTAACAATTCGGGCAGTCGAAGAACCAAGCCAGAAAAGTATATTTTGTATACTTATTTATTGTAATAAGATTCTGGAAGATCAGAAAAAAAAGCATTATCAGTAGGTTGAATGCACCAGTTATGGATAGGGGACCCAATGATTTAATGGACTTTAAATGTAAATAAGCTTCCTTGTTGCTTTAAAGGTTCCAGTTTTTTCTAGATTGAAGAACAATGCCCTCTATTGACAACTGTATGAACAAAGTTCCCAAAAGAAAATTTTAGTATGCCTATCATTGTTGTTTCTATAGTGCTCTTGAGATCAGTGTGTTTCATATCTTCCTACTTACAGTTTTGCTAGGAGTAAATTGAACATTAATGTTATCATATCATTATCGTTATCGTTGTAGTTAAATAAATTTTAGAATTTTTCTGAGGTATGTCCATTACTAGTACCAACTCCCTGTCCATTACTAGAACAATTGATTTTGGTCCAATTGGGGTCCATCACTAGTGCAAAAAGATGTTGTTGTTTTTAAATAGTGATTATAACAGCATAACTGAATATTTTTTCAATTTTAAAGTGTTAAATAGAAAAAGGAAACCCTAGAAATTCTAAATGTCTAACAGAGAAATTTATAACAATAATAATTACAGTGGCATAAGCCAAAAAAGAATAAAATTTCCTTAGCTATGTCCATTACGGGTGCACTTACCCTACTACAATAGCGGATCAACTATTTTTTTTTTTTTTTTTTTTTGTGGTGCTCGAGAATTTTATTTTTAACCATTATAATGTACTAGTTGAAAATAAAATTATGGAGGAAGCAGAAAAAAAAAATGCATTAACTGTAGTCTCTTAAATTATAAAAAAATGATTCAGTAAAATAAATACAGCAAATTACTAGAAAATATTATGAATTTCTAACGATTCTCTCATTCCAATCATTTATAATAAAAGAAAAAAATTGTAAATATAAAAATTTAAAACTAAAATCAATTAATTCTGTTATATAATTAAAATAAATTCTCAATGAGGTACCGGACATTTTAATTGAAAATATATATTTTTTTTTTTTAATTAAATGGTTATTCATTTTTATTTTTTTAAACTTCTATTTTTGAATCCACACCTGTTAATTACATTTATTAACAATCAGATGTGTTGCCAAAACAGAGAGATGAGATAAAAAATACTACAAATAATAAAAATAAATAATTAAATAAAATAAAACATAAAGAGGCAGGTTATCAAATTGCAGGTTATAGTTTAATTAGTTTTAATTGAAAATGTGTATTATTTTCTTTTAAATTAAAGAATAAGCTTGGTATATTTAATGTTAATTATTTTTATATTTTGTATTATGGAATTATTTATGACAGTATTAGTCATATTTTATTAATCATTTAAAAAAAAAAAAATACTTATGACAAATAAAAGAGGCAAATATTCAGATTGACTGAACAAAGAAAATTCTTAGTGTTTTGAAATACGCTGTTGAAATTTTTAAAACATTATTCTGCCTCAATTTGTATACTTTGAAAGGATCTGAGTTTTGGAACCTCCAAATTTTTCAATGACTTTTATTAAAGTTGTCGAAGGAATTTAAGTATGGAAATTACAATTCATCTCTTCTCCATGAAATTCCCTTTTGTTTGAAACCTCATACAACATAATATATCACTCGTGAGAGCTGGAAAAGGGATCGATTATACTACCTATCATATTTAGTGTAGCTTTTTTCACAGGTGCTAAAGATGGCTTAATGCTAAAATTTTGTAGTATATAGGGCGTAAAATGAAGTAAATAAAATGTTGGGACAAAGGATCAAAAGTTTTGTGTATTATTAATATTAATAATAGTCCCAATCAACCTACATACAAAAAGTAAATAATTTTTATAATTCTAAAAAATAAAATTGAATATATTTACCTTCATACCCTGTTGGATCACTCCAACTCCAGAATTGATTTGATTAGCTACTGTTTCACTAAGGGCCTGTGTTACTTCTGGGATTTTGTCTTTAGCCTGTAAGTCATTTTGTTAAATTTAATAAAGATTATTCTCAATAAAATCAACATTATAATATTAACACCATTATTATATTTTTTCATTATTACTATAAAAACTACAGTAAAATATATTTCATTAAAGAGTATGCTACTCGATTAAATAAATAAATAAACAATATTATCGGCTTTATTCAATTGGGATAATTAAATTTAGGTTAACAAAATAATTATCGGGAGATGCTTGGAAATATAATAATGAATTTAGAAATTATAATAAAAAAGATTTTAAAAAAATTACAATGTCTGTGTAAAAATAAAATGTGCTCATGATTTTCTATGTTAGACTGGGCTTTTAAAGATTATTAATGATAACTGAGAACTAAGTTTGAAATATATATATATATTTATAAATATATATCCAGAATAAAGTTCTATTTTCTATTCTATTCTATATATATATATATATATATATATATATATCAAATTTAATAAAATATATAATATTTTATTTTATTTTAAATACTTCAAGAGAGTTAGTTATGTTAGTTATGTTAGCTATGAAAATGATTTGATGAACAAACCTCGGTAAACTTCTCAGCGACTTCTCTCACCAAATTGTTGGCCTGTTCGACCATCTCCCTGACTTTCTCGACCTGTGCTTCTTGGACCTTGTCCTTGATGTCCTTAACTTGTTCCAAAACGCTCTTTAAATGAAATTAAATAAATATTAATAAAATTTAAATTTCTCTCCTAAATAATACATCAAACATTTCATTAGTATTATAGCAAACTTTATATATTTTCTTCAAAATCCACAAACATATTTATAACATAAAAAATTATATTTATTTAAAACATAACCAATATTTTATTATTAATGTATATATTTTTGAACAAGCCTTCTCTTGCATGCAGCATCTTTATTGAATTGCTTTTCGACCTTCCTCATGGTATCTTGCCTACTATTGAGCCATTCATTGTTGTGTAGAGGCTTCCTGATGTTTTGCTATGAGCTACATGCTCTGTCCATCTTAACTTCCTTGCCTTCATACCGTGAGATATTGTTTGACCAGTTTCCTCCATATATTAGTACGCTGATCTGAGATCGCTTTGATTGTAATGCGAAGTCTTTTCCTCTCATATTTTTTTTTTTTTTTAATGAAAAGGTACAAAAATATACGTATGAAGTCATTTTCAAAAAAGTGCTAAATCTGAAATGGAGGTTTTGAGGAAATTATGTCAGATGTTAGTATGTTTTTAAAGTTTAAACCTTTAAAATACTTTTTTCTTAAATTTTGATATTATTGTTGTGAAATCTAAACAGAAATTATCTGTAAATTAAGTAACTCGAGAACTCTTAAAAAAATAATCCAATATGTGTACTTAGTGAACAAGAGTGGAAAGGAAAATAATTTTTAAAAAAGTTCTAATTAATATTTCCTGACACCTTTTTTTTTATCAATTAATTTGTGTTTATATATGCATAATGGAAGCAATATCCATAAATGCTTAGTAATTAAGTAAAATAAACCAGGATTTATTTTGATTCCGATTTTATGAAAAATAAACTTTTTTTAAACATCTTTTGACTTATTCGACTTCCGTCATTAGTCTTCTCGCAGCTATGGGTCTGTTCTAGGCGATAGCTGTGATCGTTTGGTTTTCTTATATATATATCCAGGGAGCATGTAGTTTATAATAATCGGACATGATCACAAATCACTCCCTCTTCATAAGGATGGTTGGCAACCTTTTGCAGACATCTCTATCCTGTTGTTTTACGTGATAGGGTTATTAGCCCTGTGCCCAATCGCTAATCTGGAGGACCTAGGAGCTATATTGTTAGACACAGGAGTCGCCCATCTTCCTGTGAATCTCAGGATAGACGTTATGGCTACGTGGGAAACGAAGCCGCACTGTAGTGGTATAAGCAATCAAGTAGCGACTGTACATATTTATTTTAATTTATTATTGATTATTTATATTTTTATCTTTTTGTTTTGTTATTAAATCCTGTGAACGTGATTTAAATTTGTAGCATAAAATTTTTGCCAGTTCCTTAACCCACTCGACCATCACGGCTCTATGAGAAATAAACTAAAATTTTCTGTTTATTATCATGAAATAATATTTTAAAAAAATAATAATTTACTATTTAGTTTAAACTTAACTTTAAATACTTACTCCCAATTTGCTGGAGACATCTGATGCCACTTGACTGATTCCTTTTACTAAGTCTTCGGCAGCCTTCTGCTTTGCAGCAACTACATTTTTGCCGACTCCGCTTAGATCCTTAAATAGTACAATAAAATAATTATTTTGTATTGTAAATAGTCATGAGCAACAAGAACCAATTATCTAATTTTAAATTACTTATTTTTCTAACAAGCGCAATGTATTAATAAATGTTAACTTTTTAGAATTTAACAGAAGTCTTAAGATTCTTTCCATTGATCAGAGGCTTTAAGGATAATAATCTTTTTCTAATATAAAAGTTATTTTTATAAACAAAGTACAATCTTTATTTTATTTTTTAAGGGATATAAAATATTACTATGTGAACTTATTTTTTTATTAAAAATATAGAATAGATTAATGTGAATTTACCTTAGTTTTAGCAGTAAAATCTTGTACCAAATTCTGGATTTTGTCCTTTACCAGTTCAGAAACCTTGCCCTGTTGTTCGAGAAGGTTATCCTTCATGGCATTGATACCATCAGTTGCTGACTTTAATTAAAGCAAACACAAAAAAAATTAAATTGGTGTTAACCCAACAACTATAATTTAAAATAATGTTTGAAATATATGAGTCCAATATATGTTACAAAAATAGATATTGATAAAATAGTAAAATAAAAGTCTATATGATCTAAATTTGAAATTATAATAATAATTTTTATAAATTTTACCTCATAGCTCTTAAGGAAATCGTTGACTAAGTTGTCAACTCCATCTTGCACATCCTTGACGAAAGCTTCCTTATTCTCTACAGCTTGGCCAGTGACTTCCTAGATCATAATTTGTAATAATATTATTTTCTCTGTTGTAACATTTTTTTTTTGTTGTTGTTTTTTATATTATCTATAATAATCTATAGACTTAAAAATTTATTCAAGTGAAGGAGATAGAATTTAATATGGAGAATAGATAGATTTATAATTTTTACTTTTCTACCTATACTAGGTAAGGAAAGTTTTGCGATCGGATCCAATCTCCGACATGCAGTTTTTGACAGATCTATAAGTTTCAGAGCCTCCTGCGTTTAGCCTGGTTTTTCGAAAGGCAATCAAATTCTCTATAAAACTATATAAAAATCATTTCGGACTACTACTAACAAAGTTACAGCTATTCAATTTCGTATGTAAGAATACGGGTCCAAGCGGAATGAGAGAAAATAAAGAAAAGTAAGTGAAAGTAAGACAATCTGTTGCCTGCATCACACAAGTTTTCTCTCGGCTTTTAACTGAAATTATTGGTTGACAAAAATGGGGTTAAGATAAAAAAGTTTTTGATTAATAATATTAGAGTTTATCGAATTTTTTATGCTGATCTTCCACAAGCCGGTTTATATTGCTTTAGTTTATCTAAGAAATCTTACTTAAATCTTTTCTTTGATCAATTTTCAGGAAAATGAATCTATTTCAATTTTTTTTTTTTATATTTCTTAATGGACATGTTTAAAGATATAAAAACTTTTGTGAAATAGGTAGGAAAGTCGTATGGGTGTACACACCAGATTTGTTTGTATTAAAATCAGCAAAAAAGACTATGAAACTAACAATGAATTAACATTGAAAGATAAAAATAATGTCTTGAATTTAAATTTTGTTTATTATATAGTATTGTTCAAATAGGTGCTATTTTTTATTACTGTTTATAAGGGAATAAAAACAATTTGTATTTTTTAAAAACATCGAACTGATTAACACTAGACCATATAGTTTTATTTTAACATAATTTAAAATTTAATTTTATGGAAGTATATAGCCAGGAATGAATGAAAAGATGTTTGAAAATTAATTCAAATTAAAAAATACAAATAGTTACACCTCAATTAAATTAAACAGCAATATTATTAATAAAATGTTAAATTAAATTAAACAGGTCTACAAATTGATTATCTTATAGTTTTGTATAGAAATTGTTCAATTTTAAAGTATTTGATTTCTCAAGAAGCACCTTATTTCTTATTGATTGCCAAATTAAATCAATTATTGTGAAATAAATTACTATTTAAATTAATAATTATTTATCACTTTTAGGAATGAAATAAATAAATGAAGTAAAATAAATAAAACCATAAAAGAAAAGTAGTCAGTCTTACTTGAATTTTTTCTAAAGATTGCTCAGCAACACCACTTAAGATGTTTTTAAGTTTTTCACCAACTTGATTTTGAGTATTTTTGATAGCATTTTCAATAACACTTATGCTGTTTCCTGTGCTCTAAAAACAAGTATACAAGTAAATTAATAGATATTAGAAATAAGTGGTTTGATCCATAAAAAATAAATTTAGTTTGTTTTGAATTAAGTATGGATCTCATTATTGCTTCAAAATACAGTAAATTATATATATGTGTGTGTGTGGGGGGGGGGGTTACATTTGAAATTGAAAAAAAATCTGCAATCATTAACATATTATTTTCATAATTTTAATTTACATCTTGACAGCCACATCAAAAAATCCTGTAAGTAAAAAATCTAAAAATATTCAGAAGACAATAAAAATATCTTTTTTTATTTTATATAATAAAATTCTGTATGATTTTTACTGTAGGCTTATGACAAGGATGTAATGTTTTAAATTACCTTCTTGATTTCTAAATTGATACAAATGATTTATTTTATACAATAGAAGCATGGAAATGCTAACGGATCAAAGTTCTTCGGAAAATTTTATGTTTTTTGTTAGTTTTCAGGCCTATTTCTGAGTTACACAATATATTAACAGGATTTCATTATTTAAACAACTACAGGTTGTTAGGAAAAATACGTTGTTTTAATAAAGTCATTATTCCTTTATTAATGTTGAAACTTGTTTTCTAAAAATTTTTAGAATTAGACATTTAAATCGGAAAAAAAAATTTGTTAATAGATTTGCACATCATTTTACAGGAAAATACAAATAAAATTGGCAAACTATTTTATTTTCTGAAAATTTGAAAATAGAATTTAATCCTCAGTAAAAATAAGGCGGTAATGACCCAAGTGGTTGAAATCTTTAAGTTACAAGAAAAAAAAATTGTGATTGAAAATCCCATGGATTTTATTTGCATTTCTTTTCATAATTAAATTTAAACAAAGTTTTCACAATTTTTACTTGTTTCAACATTTAAATTAATACTTAGTCGAAATAATTTTTTTATAACAAGCTAAAATGCTATAATGAATTGTAATCAGTGTTTTAATAGACTATTTGTAATTAAAGAAAAACTGTGAGAGTCACGTGTTTGTTGAATGATCTTAATTTGCATTCTCAAATAAGTACTCATTATTTCAATGTTGACATTACCGCATTCTTTATATGTAAATTAATATCTTTATTGCTAATGAAACACACATACATATTTTCTTTTAGATTCAAATATAAGGTTTTTATTTTCGAAAATGAAAAAAAAAAAAAAAAAAAGGAAAGATATTTTGAATAGAAAATATTTTTACCTGGAATACTTTGAAAACATTGTCTAACAATTTGGCGACAGCATCTGTTGCTAAATTGGAAACAATTGCATTGATATCGGTCACTTTTCCTCCAATTTCCTTCAAGTCAGTGGTAACCTTTTTGAAAACAGATAAAATAATAATTAACAAATCAACAATTACCTATAATATTAGAAACAAAATTAAACTATGATAAATTGATTAAAGGATATAAAGAGGAAAATTGTTTTTTATGGAGTAGTCTAAACTGTATCATATATATTGATGAAGTGCATTAGTTTAATAAGAAAATAAATATATATGATACAATATATACTGTCTTATATTGGTTCATTGTACAGTATTTTAAGATTTTATTTTACTCTTAATTTTTAAATTAAGAATTTTTGATATTGGCGGCTACTGGGTCATTTTAAAATTTTGGTTCACATTTGGGCATCAATTGTTAAAAAAAAAAATTAAATTAGACTTCTTAACAATTTTTTGTAGTTGTTTTATGAAGTAGTTAATAGTAGCATATTAATTATACGTTATTTAGAAAAAAAAATTATATCATTATTTTTTATCCGTATGTGCTTGTTTTAGGTGAAAATTTTCTAATATAATATTTTTCTGGATTTGAATAAAAAAGCAACCTCATTATATCTAGTGGTACTGTTAATTTACAAATTAACTGGTAGTGTTAATTACAAATTAAAAAAAAATGACTTAACCTAATTAGAGTTATAGTTCATAGAATATTAAATTAAATAGGACCAATACCACCTTCATTGAGTGTAGAATTACGTAAAAATATAAAATTAATGGTGTTTATCTTATAGATGGCTTGAAATTGGCTTACCAGCCGAAACACAGCTGTGTAAATTGAAATAAATATGGTAAAGAAATAAGCACAGCCTTATTTTATAATTATTTTTTTATGTTAAAGTATGAACTATGTTAACACCAGATTATAATAATTTAATTTTATATATTATAGTTAAATGTAACAAAACATTTAGACTGTGTTATGGACCTGTGATTGTAACCTTACTATTTAGAGTTAAGGATTATCTAGACAGTTTGAATCTAGGAAGTTAGGATTTAGCCTTTCATGGCCACAAAAGTTCATTCAGTTTATGAAACTGAATTAATTCAAAATGTTCTCGAACTCCACTCATTTTACAAAAGTTACATTAACATATCTATCATGGATGTTCTGTAAGAAGGTCGAATTTAACAATTCACTACTTTTCAGAAGTGCTTTGTTTACTATAAATTTTAAGAGTTGATGTTTCTGGCATTGTTACATCAGGGGATATACAAAAGGGATGTACAAAATTAAGGTGTCAAAGCCATCTAAATAACTAAATATTAAAACAAGTCAGTTACCCTTCCTGCAACGTTCTTCAAGGAACCCAAGCCGAAGAAAGGACTGGCCTGGCAGGCCGCGAAGAAGACAACCAAAAAGGCGCAAGAGTAGAAGAACTTCATGGTGAATGACTGAGGTAGAGAATCCTATCCCACGTCTTTTATAGGAGGTTGATTCTGATTAGACGAATAGCTGTTCAAATATTTGCTCTGCTAATTTTGACGTCAATTGAATTAGTTATTAATTCGCTAATATTGATAATTGAGCCCGACCTTACTTTTATATTTTTCCATGTTACAGATCAATAATGTTTTGTTAAGTTGCTTGATCCATAAAAAATATTTAACGTAACGAGGAAGAGAAAAAGTAAAAGTCATTGTGTGATAATAATGTTAAATTATTTTTCTCATTGTACATGTAAATTGAGAGTGTTTAATTTACTAAACTAGACTTATAAGCAACAAATGGGAATGATAATTAATAAAGAAAGATCAAAACTATAAACTAATAAATATTATTAAAGAAAAAAAACTTCGAAGATTATAGTGAATTACTATTATATAATAATTGTTATTTTTAATGGTAGACTATAGATTCTTACATTGATGGATCTTGGAGTGGAGAGCTTTCCGGCTGAATCTTCCTCCCCAAAAATGGAAAAATAAATTTTTCCAATCGTCCATATTTGTTACTGTGAGTGATCTAAGCTCAAAAAACAATCAAACAATGTTATATTTTTTATTAAATTTATCATTCTTTTTAATTCATTCTACTTTAATAAATTTATTCTATGTTTATTTATAATCCATATACAGCTACTAAATATAACCGAATGAGAAAAATATTAAAACATTGTTATTAAAAGTATTATTGTTCATACATGGTTGTTATATTTACTTATGTGATCAATAAATGTTATTCTCTTTTTTATAATTTAATCAATTTATGTTAACGATGCATTTCTAGTGTTTTGTTTGTAAAATTTATTGCTCCTTTTATTTGTTCATCATTATTCTATGTTTATTCCAATTCTTCTGAACATATTATGATATCAACTTCTAGTAACTATACCATATCTTATTTATTTTATTTTATTTCTTATTCCTCCGATTTATTTATATTACTTAATTTTCCATTAAATTTCTTTGTTACTTCATTTTGTACTGCTTTGTTTGTTTCATTAAGTTGTTGTCGTTATTTTATTATTGTTTACTTTATCATTCTGTTACTGCAGCTTAGCAACACAAGCATAGGTGTAGACTTTCCATTCTGGTTGGGAGGCTATCGACACCCTCTCCCCAAATAAAATTTCAGGTGTTTATATTATTTATAAAAATTATAAGCCGTAATTAACATAATTATTATAAAATGAACAGTATAATACTAAATTATAGGCACAATATAAACTAAACAATATAATTATCTTTGAATACAAACTGAATGTTTATTGTTCTCCTATTCCTCGCCTTTTAGGCTTTAGGCTATACAGGGTTTTCCGGAGCCAGGGTGTGAGGGCGGGGTTAATGCCAGATTTAAAAGCCCCATCCTCTTTGCACCAGAATGCGAACTCTGCTGTGCACATGCATTAGTCTGCTCGACCACACCATCCCTTCAATAATAGGAACATAGGATTAATTGTTACTGATTTTGTTTTTATTTCTTTTAAATTTTTGTTATTTGTAATATTGGGGATGGAAGGAGGCGAAACGATATTCTTACCTCCTCTCTATTTTTATTGAGGGGTGATCGCCTCCCCTCCCTCTCTCCGTAGTCTGCGCCTATGAATACAAGTAATTTGTATCTCACATTCATAAAAAAAAGATTTTCTCTAACCTAATTTATTCCCTTGTTTATTTTTTGTTCCTTGTGTAAGCTGTGATGGTCTTCAGAAGAAGAGGCTACCAAATATTTTCAATACACCGGGATAATTGCAAAGGTGAAATATTGTGATGAAGGTCATGAAATGAAGTTCGACGGGAAGACGAAATGGAGATGCTTTCATAGTTTTAACAAAACCGTTTCTATATGGAAAGGAACATGCTTAGAGGGGTCGAGGATTTCTTTTTTAACTGCTTTAAAATTCATTTATGGATGATCCCATAATTTAACAACAATACAGTGGGGGAAAGAGCAGCTCAAACTAATCTACCAAAATAAATTAAGTTAAAATAAAATTGTTCATATTTTGTTTATAGTGTTTATATTGTTTTTTTTATATATACATATGTTCTTTATAGTCTTCATAGTGTTTCTTTTATATGTACATATGTCGTTTAAGTGTTTTTTTATTATTTCATTTATTTTTATATATATGTTGCAATGTTTTCTTAATGTTTTTAAATTATATATGTATAATGTTTTGGTCTATTTAATATATATCTTGTAAAATAAAAGTATTTTTTTTATTATTATTACATTTGTAATGTAATTTCAAATTGCATTTTGTTTTTGTTCACAATTTCAATAATATCAATACAATACAATAAGTATGAATACAATGATATAATAATATGAATATAATACAATAAATATGGATACGAAGATACTATCAGTGTCTTATCAGAGTTATCAGTGTTAAGGTTATAAACATTGGCAGATAGCAGTGGGATGCTATCCACTATTATACAAGTACCCAAAGGCCTATAGGAAATAAAAATAGAAAGCATTTTAAAAGAATTTGATGTTCATGAAATTAAAGTTTAGGCAAATAGAATTAGTAACACGATGAGCAAGTTTATATTATCTCTCAATTACATAAAAAAGTTTTTAGTGACCGATATTTTATTTTACACAAAGGCGGAATGCCCACAGAGCACTGCAGCCGTGCGGGCTTACGTATACTACGCCCTAACCACATCGCCTAGATAAAATTATTTTTAACTCCTCGGTTTGAGTTTTTAACTATTCTCTTATTTAACAATTTATATCTTTTATACAACTTTTTCATTTGTAAAATGGGGGTTGGTCAGCCGTTAGGTGGACACGGGGTACCACCCTAGTCCCTATTATTTTTTTTTTTTTTTTTAACTTTTATTATGATATTTACAACTGTATTAGTATGAACACATCAAGTAAATGTGTACAGAGGAATATAATCACATGAAACACGCTTGTTGAGAAACTACTTATTGGTAGCACTCTAATAATTTTTCTACATGAGGAGATCACGAGGCCATCTTCTTTTCAGTCGCCTCGGAGGGTTATCAGGAATTGAATAGGAAGCAAGGTTAGAAACAAGAGGGTTGGGATGGTTATGAAGTTTATTATGGAAGGACAGATATCTGGATTGGGCCAGATCTGAAACATAAGGAACATTTAGGATTTTGGATTGTAAGGATTGGATACAAGAGGAATTTGAAGGTTTGGTGGAGCCCCATAGCTCAACTCCGTAAGTCCAAATAGGCCTTATTATAGTTATGTAAATGAGTCTTTTGTAATAAATTGGAAGGGTAGAACGTTGTTCTAGCCCTGAAGAAGACCTCCAAAGTCGGGTCCAAACGTTGGCTTTTAATAAAATAGTTTTGCCACTATTTAGCCTATTTATGACCGCCACCGCGGACCATCTCCTTCCTTTATAATGCAACGGTTAACTATCAAATATTCAATACGTGTCTATATATAAAAAAAAATAAAATCGGTTGAATAATAGACGAAAAAAAGGGTCTGAACCGTTTTGTGTTTGCCTATTTATATAATAATTATAGAAAGAGAGAAATAACATATATAAATCTACGATAACATTTTGTTATCATCATTAAATTCATCATAGTAAATTTTAGAAAACCATTATCACATTTACAATTTTATTGTTGTATTGTGTATAATGCAGTACTTGGAATAAGGATTGCGCACTAGTTCCGTCAGAATTAACAATTAATCAATATTAAATATTGATCAATTAAAGATGAGGAAGTTGTCAACTAAAAGTACACAACTGGATCTGCAACAACAACAACACACCTTACAAAGCTTCATTACGTTAATGTACAAATTATATTGACACACTTTGGGTGATGCAACAGACAGTAGCGGATGCAGGATCTAATTTCATTTTTTTATGGAGGGGTTTTTCTTCCCTTATAAATTATCCTTCAAGACATGATGAAAAAAAAATGTAATTACAGAAACAATAATGCTTTTAGGACTAAATCATATTATAGTTTTCATATAACTTTTTGTCAAATTATTAACATCTAAATCTTCGTGAACTGCTTCATCATATCGTAACAATTTTTTTATCTACGAAAATGCTCAGACGTGGCGTTTTCTCATTAAATTAATTATTTTAATAAACAACTAAAAACTCTTAAATGTCCATTTGAATCCTAAGGTAATTTCATCACAGAATCGAGATAAAAAATAGCCTACAAAAATATTGGCCTTTGGCCGAGTTAACCTAGTTATTTTGAATTGTTGGAGATGGAAGTCACGTCAATCGGTATTTTAGTATTTTTGTAGGTGTTGGGGCCACGGGCGGAACTACGGGGAGGGGGGGGGGGAGGGCTTTCGTGCTGAAGCTCTCCTCCTCTCCCCCCAAAAATGGTAAAAATTAACCATGTTTTATGGAAAAAAATATTAAAATATTATCTCTTAAAGTATTATTGTTCGTGTAATTACATTTAAAAGGACTTTAGAAATCTCTTAAACACCATTTCGTATAGGTAGTTTCTTTGTTTTTTTTTCCAAAGCAATTATCGTTATTTTTATGGAAAAAAAAGCTTTCGCTGAAGCCCCCCCCCAAAAAAAAAAAAAAATAAATCCTGGATCCGCTAGTGGTTGGGGCCAGAAGTATTTCAAGATTAACATACAATTCTTTCCCCGTTGGGTTTCCTCAATGGTGGGAAAATACGAACAAAATTACAATAAAGGGAATGAAGTAAAAAAATTAAAAATGAGACCTGTAAAATAAGGGTAAAACGCATACACATAACCAATATTAAATACAAATATCCAAATAATTAAAGATAAAGAATAAATAAATAATTCCCTTTTAATGTTTACAATATTTATTGAATAAAAAAAGAGAGATCTAAATATATAAAAAAGTTAAAAATAAACCAAATGAAACAATGATATAAAAATTCCGAGATAAAAATAAAATATATCTAATGAGAAAATAAAA